GTTTGGTTTAGTTTATTGAGACCCAGGGTCAGCTTCATGGGTGTGTGAACTGTGCAGAGTCGCAAAGAGCCCTGTGCTCAGAAGGGCCCCATGCTTGGTTTAATGATCAATTGTCACTGTCTTGAAATTCTTAAGAATTCTATCTTGAAGTCATGTTTTGTTAGAGTAGTCTGATGGGACAATGGAGCATGCGCATGAGCAGAGAAGACACATGCAATATGCATGTCTGCCATTCTTTGCCACCCCATTTGCACATAGCATTTTCGATGTCCGTGGGCACAGAATTCCCATGGACCCACGATGCGTGGGAGGTCAAAGTGAATAAAAGGTAAGGGAGCTCCATCTATTATTCAGCAAATGGGGTCCCTGACAGCCCCAAGAGGCCACTTTGTTCACTCAAACCAGAACTTGCTTTGAATAAGAAAGAAGACAACGACATTCTAAGAAACAAGAATGTTCAAGAAACCCTATCATATCCTTTCATACTTGTACTTCTGTGTATTTGACAAGTACTTATGCTAAAAATGATGACAAAGAAGTAAAGGGAAAGAAAGGCAACATGTAATTACTTTTTCTTTAAGTCGTACTTTACTCATCAGTAAGCTGAAGGTAGGAAGTGTTGTAGAAGATGCACACATCAGAAAGTGAAATGAAAACAGTTGAGTTCTGCTAAGAATGAAATACATGTGCATTCATGAACTACAAAATATGAATTGTAATTGATTTCACATATGAATTAAAAACTTCATATTTGGATTTAAAAACAACAGAATGATGAATGGTAAAGTTCATGCTAATAAGTCAAATTTAGATTTTTTCTTTACGTTATATAGCGCAAAAAAAAAAAAAACCATGATAAGTTGAAGAAGAGGCTGCAGAAAGATGGAATTAGTAGACTTAGCACCTTTTTTTTTTTTCTTTTACTGACTTTTGAACAAGAAGGCCCATATTTTCCTTTTGCACTGGGCCCCACAAATTATGTAGCTGGCCCTGATGCCAAAGATGAAAGAAGAAAACACATTGGGGACATTTGTTGTTTTTGCTTATCAGCATTCATTGACCCTTCTGTTAATAGTCCCTGATTTTCTGGGGGCATCCCCTATGAGTCAGTTTTTTAGGAAGGAGTTGACTTGACAGCTGGCTCTACGGGTGCCGTGAGACTCAAACCTGGCCAATCAGAATATTTCATTTTCCTGGTCATGTTGATTGGTCTGAAACATGTTTGGACTATACAAATCATAAGACTTGTTTAAGAATTAGCAGGAAGAGATTCTCTGCCTTTTGTTGCTGGAATGTAATTCAAAGGGCTGTGAGCCTGGAGCTGCTGGAGGTTACCACGTGGAGTCTGAGAATGGCCCAGGTGAGAGATGGATAGAAACCAAATCCTGGTGATATCATCTGAGTCTGGATCAACCTATGCCTGAAGTTAGCTAGATGTGTACGTGGAGTTAGTTATGTGAGATATTTCATTTTCCAGCTAGTTTGAGTTAGATTTTGTCGCTTGAAACAAAAACAGTCTGATGCTGCACGCTATAAGCTCTCATTAAGGTTGTAGAAAACAGGTATCTCCAAAAGTATATACAAAACAGCTAAGAGTGAATATCCTGGTCAGGGAAGATTATGAAAAGTTCTTTCATTTATAGCTTTGTACTGTTTTCTGGTGTTAGATTTCATAAAGCAGATATTCATTACTCTAAATGTAGCAAAAACAATAAACATGTTTCTAACTTGGGGGAAAATCAGTGATGCTTAATCTTTAAAAAAATATTATTGTGGTAAAAATACATAATATGAAATTTATGATCTTAACTATTTTTAAGTATACAGTTCAGTGGTATTAAGTATGTTCACATTTTGCAAAACAGCATGATGCTTAATGTTAATGTAATAATTTCCCAGATGGACACAAAACCAGATATCTTAAAGTAGATGCTTACTAAAATTGTTTAGTAATGGGAGCCAGTATTCTGATGCCACCTTTTTACAGAATGACATAGACACGCAGAATAGCCCTGGAGTGATAACACAGGCCTTTCACCAGGAATTTCACTGGTTGTTGCCATGTAATTATACTGCAGAATACAGCAAATAGGAAAAGATTAATGAGTTTGGCCTTACTAACCACCTAAAGGTGAAAAATTTAATTCTCAAAGTAGGCAATCTTTTGTCTTACTGTGTTCTAATGCATGTATATGTGAATAGAAGAAGAAAATTTGTGTTCACAGCAGTATCAAAAATGGGGCATTGAGAACGCAGAGAAGTAGTAACATCAGTCTAAGCTTAGAGCAACCTCATGGAAAGCATTCAAAAAACCTTGCAGAGCACATTTTCACTAGTCCAGGGTCCTGCTTGATGAAATGGCTGTACCATTTCCTTGAAGATATCTAGTGTCAGTGTTTTATGTATATCATTGTGCTTAGGGTTCAAGCAGACACCAGCAATGTCAGGAGGGGCTGGGGGCCAGGATATTGTTCTCTCAGCCTTCCATCCAGAGATGTGTTGGGTCACTCCCAACCTGGTACCTAGTGGGCTGGTGTCTAGCACAGGATCCCATAAACTTGCTAACCCTTGTGTCCGTGATCTCAGCTGTCCTTCACTTCCCTGCCTAGATACTCCTCTTCCCCTGAACAGAAAACACGCATAATCATCTTCTCCAACTGATTATTTAATACAGGCGAATTTGTTTTCAGTGTTCTCACAATGAGGTTTTGAAGGGACTGTTTCAGTCTGACACTGTTTTTTGATGTCTATGTATAAAAGCAAAACCATTGTTATTTATTTATGTTCAGTAGATCAGATAGTTTCTTGGAAACTTGCTCCGACCGGATGAAACCTGAGGATACTGGCTGAGGTTGAGAGGACAGGGGTGAAGAGGGATCCCCATGAGGCAGCAGGAGCAAAGAGTGAGGGTCTGGGACTCTGGAACACAACCTTTGCTACTGCACCATTTCACCAGGGCAGACCTTTGGGATGGGTGTGGGTTGTTACAGCACTGGGAGGGGGAAAACATGATTTAGTTATCTCTAAGTTGTTATCATTGTTGTTCTTGTTATTAAAGTAATGTGGGTATCAAGTAAAATGTTCAACTGTAACAAAAGAGAACCCAGTGAAAAGTAGTTCTCCTTCTCACTTCTACTCCTCCTCTTCTATCCCCAGAGGCCACCACCCCTGGCTTGTGCATTCTTCAAGATAGCTTGTGCCCAGTTCAATGCCCTGTCTAGTTCTTCACTTTGGTTTTACTTTGACTTTGACCTATTAAGTAAGGGTCTGAACTGAAATTGGAAGATGACACTCAGCTCTGCATTTTAGTATTGTTTCCTTAGAAAAAGTAATGAATAAAGAAGCACATGCAAGATCTCGAGAGCTGTCACTCTGAGTACGTTAACTCCTGTACCCGTTTTTCACACTTTCTGTGCCGTAAAGCTGAGCAGGTGACTGGTACATTCTCTCTTTGTGCAGTATGCGATATTACCAATTCACTGAAAAACAAACTTCAAACTGCTAAAAAAATAAGCTAGCTTTTAATTATCTTCAGATACAAGTTGCAAGAAGGAAGCCTGACATTGCTCATCAATGAGATCGGTAAACTGTGAAGATACGTGGTCAGATATGTCTGGTCATTAAGGTATATAGTGTGATCAGATGTCATCATAATTGTTGTTATTACAGGATCATAAAACTTTATAGTAACAGCAAAAGCAAGGTACCTTTGTTTGAAAGTTTAGCCAAAAAATCAAACTGAGCTCATCAATAAAACAGATGCAAGAAGATGAGCATTTATAAGGAATTCTAATGAAAAGAAGTAAGCAAAGACTTTTTCAATAATGTTCACATTTAAATTAGGAAGTAGGGAAATGAGGTCTTAGTGGATTTCTTTAGAGTGAATTAAATATTGAAATAAATAATAGTAATGTGGTTCTAATGTCTGTAATTAACACAGGCTAGCAATATAGATTGGCTTTCTCAGATAACACTGTGTATTTGGCTAAATTTCCATGATTTATATTTCACAAATTTAAGCAATGGGTACACATGTAATTCTAAAGTGAAGAATTTAAGTTTTCTACACAAAGCAATAACAATGCATTTTCCTTTAAAAAAAAAAGTGTTGTGTGTCCACACATGCTCTACACGCTTTGCCCAGAGATAATCAGGAAGAGTAGTTTCAAAAGGATCTTTTTCTTGCTCTAGTGTCAGATCTTAAAATAAGATTTAAGAGCTGGAAAGTCTGATTGAAGGGGACTGAGATGTGATTTCTAGTGGCACCGCTTACTAGAGCATGGAGAACAGAAAATGCTGTTTCTGTGTGTTGGAGGTTAGACATTTCTGGACAGACATATTTTAATTCAGTCTTTTCTTTTGAAATCAAATATATGCTGTAGCTACCTTGAGATGTGCAGTTGCTTATTACAGTTAATGGATTGTTCATCCTCTTTGTCCTTGAGATAATCCTAAGTATGTGCATAAAACTGAGCTCATGCTGCCCATAAAAACCAATCAGGCCGGAGTTGGTCCACAAGGTGTTGAACATTCACTAGAGCAGATGGGAAAGATAATGTTTAATAAAGAGTTAGAGGATTAGGTGGTATGAAACAAACTAAGAGAAAGGGATAATTTCATTTCAGGTGAACCTCTGTGACATTTCTTGTACCCAAAGACAGATTAAAGTGATCCCAGAGCTATGACTTTTGGCTACTTTTTTCCCAGTGCTGGCCCTGCATACATTGTCAGCTTTTGACTCTGCCAGCATCATCACCTGAATCTGTGAATAACTCAAAAGATAGTTTCGCAGGTTTATGAAGATGTATGAAGTGAGTCATTCGCAAATGAATATACATATGAGGAAATGACAGAATTCTGCTAAATATGTTTATATTTGAACAACTGATTCATCTGAGTGTGATTTAGAATGGGATGTGCCTAAGTTTATATAAATGACAGTTAAAAAGATAACTGTCACAATGTTTGCTGATGAGGTTTCCATTTCTCTTAACATTTAGAAGTTAAATGAAAGATGGATTGCGGATTATAGCCTGAGCAGATTTGAGCCTAAATGTAATATAACAACTTGTGGCAAATGGAGGTAGCAGGAGAGTAGAGCCAACTAGCCAAAAATCCCCTGGAAAGGTAAGGTTAGGAGGCCTTTGAAGACTTAAGTACAACCTCATTTATTTTTCATCATGTTCACTTAATTAAATGTAGGCTGGGGAGGTGGATTGAAGTAGCTATTTGTGACATGCTGGTCTGGGTACTGGCGTTCATTCAGAGGGTCACAGGTTCAAGTTATAGCCATGGACCTCAGAAAGCATTTCAGCGTGTGACCTGCTGAGGGGCTGGAACATCCAGGGGGTGGGCACATCACTGCTCCTGCTTTGCTTTTGACTGGGACCTGAGTCATGCTCTTTGCTATTATTCTGTTTCGTTTACTGTAAAAGTGGCGAGGCACTTTTCATTTTAGCTTCTTGCAGTCTCAGTTCTAATAGCCTGGAGGAAGTTGCCAAACAAATGTAACCTCTCCTGTTGGCCCAGCTACTCTACCTGTGTTTGCGGCAGGGCTGGCTATTTGGCAGTGCGCTTATGTTCTGCAGAAATGTGCTATGGGAGGTGTTAAGCTGAATTGGGGGATATTTCAAACCATTCCTTAAATAATAGAATTGAAATATTGTGCGGCTGAAGTGGCCTGGGATGGAAACTTCTGAGCCAAAAGTTAGATCCTGGTTTTACTTGAAGATGTAATGGAGCCCTGGGGTGTGTGGTTTTCAGGCTTTCTCTATTTGTTAATTTTGGAAATGGACTTTTCACAGTTTTACTTCCCTTTTGTGTTAAGTCTTTGGTTTTGCTTCTATATGCAACCTGGATTGAAAACTCAGGAGTGTTCTTTTTACCTTGGTTCTAGTCAATAGGCCCGGAGGCAAAGCAACAATGATATGGCCATTAAGAACCATAAATAAACATTAGTTTTCTAATATAATCAGTTTCCTTAACATAGTAACAAACATAAAAGAGCAGGATCCATTTGCCTCCCTGTCCTCTGAACCCTTTGCTTCAGTTCTGCTTTCCGGAGCTGCAAATATACATATATTCTCTTTTAAGTTAGAATTTCAAAAAATTAAAGAAAACTTTCCCATTTTTTTTCTAACTTTTCTCATTTTCAGGTGAAACTGAAATCATTCATTCAAAAAGTGTTTACTGAGTAGCTTCAAAGAGCAAATATTAGGTTAGATGCAATGGGTGATGTACGAATATTCAGACAACTATTTCTCATGGACTTTGCTTACTGAGCCATCAACACACTGGCCACCTTTTTCTAGATGAAGTATCCCATCATTTGATTCTGGATTGAGAACTCTTTGAGAGCAGAGACCATGGCTTCACCTGAGTATCCCCAGAGCCTGATGTTAGACAAGTAAGTGGATGCTCAATAGATGTTTTCTGACTTTTCTCCGTTATTCTAAAAATGAGGCCCCTAGATCTGATTTTAGTTTTATTCCATTGACTTGATCAGCACGGAGCAAGTGGAGGCATTATAATGCTTGACTGGATGTGACACAGTGTGTGGGCTCAGAATACCTCTGTGCACATGGACTGCTGTAAGACTAACTCATAGGTTATTTCATTTAAACTGCCTGGCAACCCTGAGAGGCAGATAGTGTTATGGCCAGTTTTCAGATGGGAAAACAGAGGGAAACAAGGGAATTAAGCTGATTCAAAGCATAGGTATTCTCTAATTTTATGTTTGGGCCTTTTTTTCATAAGGACCCTGGCTCTGGTTATCTATCATTTTCTAATTTTGTGCCTGTGCATTTGATCCCAATGTAGATTTATACTTTTATCCTCACTAAATTATATTTTGTTAGTTTTGTCCTATACTTCTAGCCTCTTGTGTCCTTCAGCAATCTTAATACAGTCATTTTGCCATCTCAGATATTCCTCTCCCTTTGTGCACTTGTTACTAATTATCTAAGCTTATTATTTTACATATGCGGATAGTATAAATGTCGAGAGCTATGTCACCCATGAGAAACCTTACTCCAGGATGACACTGATCTGCTATCACTGCCTTGGCATAGTGATAGTGAACATTCGTTCGGTTATTCTACCATTTAGTCTACATTTTTATGTCTTGACCATAAAGATAACATGAAAACCTTTGCAAAATTAAAGCATATTTTGTTTAAATCAGGTGTTTTTAATATGGGTATGTAACCCACATAATGTACATATAACACTTAGTCTTCCACATAATAAACATATAACATTTAGTTTTTTATTTGCCAACCCAGAGAATAGAACTTAGTCTATTTTATATTTTAATCTGTATACTAATGAATAGTGTTTTTGAAAAACTACATTCACAGATGTAACTTTTATTATCCTTTTTCAAATTTTCTTATTTTTCCTTTCTTCCTGCCTCAACATACCTCTATGTACTATACGTTTTAAAATTTGGAGGAAAGGTGTATTTAAGAGACAATGAAAACCTTGATGCAAATTATATTTTCCCAACAGAAACACTTTTCCATTTCAATGTATGCATGCAAAACTTTAAAAGCCTGATTTAAAAATGTATGATGCAACTCTATCATGTGGAGGATGTTACTTAGGAGCTGAATTACAGGATTTGCCTCTCTTTTTCTCTGGCCTTGGGCAATCTAGTCTAATTACAGTCACTTGCCTTTCATTCTGTTTAGTGTTTTTCAGCTATGCATGAAAAAGTTAATCAAAAAATAAAATGAAAAACTGTGATGGCTAATCGAAGTCCCATAGATTTCTACACCAGCCTGTCTTTGGGGATGAACACCAAAATGTTACCTTCAAAGCATCATTAGATGTACTGTGTCTATCGGTCTCTACTTCTCTTAAAGAAAAAAGATTCCTTTAATTTTAGAATTTTTCAAAAGTAGAAAATGAAAAGAAAATTGAGGCTTTTCCTATCTTCATTTATTTCTTCCTGTAATTGTTGGGAGGTTGTATAACCAGAGAAGACACTAGACCAATAATCTCAGGGATGGGTTATATCTCTCTTTAGAACAGTTAGAGGAAGGCAATTTACCACCCCTCTTTGTCCTCTAGTGTGCTTTGGAAGGACATCGTGTTAAGAGAATTGCTGAATCCTGGCCTATCTTCTGTCTGGATCCCTTGCCTAGACTGTAGATCCAAATGCCAATTACTAGAACCAACACTGGCTGCGGTTTTGTGCATGTTTTTCCTGAAGAGCTGACATGTTGTCTTAGTTCATTTCAAATTCCTTCTTTGACAACCCTACTGCAAACCAAAAACAATGTGATAAAATTTGTACCTTTAGTACCTATTATTAATTAACCTTGATAAAAATCACCAAGTTGTTTCTTTGTTCTTTGGGAGAAGGAAAAGGTATGGAAGAGGGATGGAAGATGAAAGAGCCCTGAAATCATCTGGAAGGGTTGGTGGCGGTGGGGGTGGTAGTAGTGGCAGAGGTATGGAGCACAAAAACAAAGTGTTATCAATGCAAATTTGTGGCGTATTTAGCTGAGGCTGTCAGACCAAAGATTTCTGGATGGTACATGTCAATTGCTCCTGTGGCTGAAACAACCCCATCTTTCTCAGTTATTTAAAGTGAGTGATGTTGAGAAGCAACATATGCTTCTTTTCCTCCATGCAGAGCAGTGAAATTTGGAAATACGTGCTGAGAGAGAAGCATAGTTTTCCATTGCAATTTATCTCTAAGAAAGGACCACTTTCTGGGATAGTGATAATGGTTGCTAAAACCTCATTGAGAAAAATAACTTAATTGCCCAAATTGGGCTTAGAACATGCTGCAGCTGGCTCAGTAGAGTGGCAAGGGACCATCAGTCTGCTTTGGAGGAAGTGTCATGTTTGAGAATCATGTGGATGTAGCCTTCCTTTACTGATAATTGGATCTCACCAAAGAGTCGTAAGGACTTTCAGAATAGTATGTACTATTCACACAACATGGCATTTTCAGTCTCAGAAGTTTCTTTTCCCCCTTTTTGTTTTAAAGCTATTTAAACTTATTTTCATAACAAATTGAATAACATGAAAAGTATGTTAGAGTCTGTTGAGGAGCTCTGCGAATGCTTGATCAATAACAGCAATGTGACTAAAGTTGTGCATACTTATGTTTTCTGTTAAGCAAATGAAAGCCAGTTAATTCAACATGTAACACTCCTATTTTAACTTCCTGGGTGAGACAAATTTGGTATTCCAAATTTCAGCCAGCAGCTGGCTCAATAACTGGAAAGCCAATTTACCAAAAGTTTCAGCTTTGATTGTTTCAAGGTCATAGATAGGACATATCAAATAATCAGATATATTAGGCCTCAGGGAACAACTAACAGTCTTGAGTAAATGACAGAGTCTGGAGCTGTTGAGCAGGTGAGAAAAGAGAGGTATTTTTCATATCAGATTCAGTGAATTGCCCAGTACTCCACTGAGGTCCCTTTGTATATTATTGTGAAACTTTTGGCCACATGAAATTAGAATAATGCTAATTACAAAATCAGCAGTGTGCTTTTATGAAAAGATCATTAACTCAGGAAATCAGGAGACCTGAGTCTTAGTCCCAGCTAATAATCCTTAATCATTATCTTAATTTCTGAGCAATTACTGTGTTACTCTTTGTTCAGCATCTTTGTTTACATTTTCTCTAGCCTGTGCAACAACGCAGCCAAGAATATAGTATTACCCCACGTTCAAGTTGGAGAAACAATTTCAGAGAGATCAGGTGACCCTCCCACAGTCACCAAGCTAGTAAATAGCAAAATTAAAATGCAGACTCTCGACTGTGTCTTGAGGCTCCATCTCTGCAAAATGCTCCATATTCTTTCCTGTATTGGCTGTTTCTCCTTCTTGGAATACCTTCTTTGCTCATCTCAGCCTGTGCAGCTTTTAGTCATCCTTCATGCTTGGCTCAAGTCTAGCATTCTTAGGGAGGCTTCCAGGAGCATTCCCAGCTTCTAGTCTCTCCCCAGTGTAACTTCTCAGCCCTTCTTACTGCGCTGCTCATGTGGCACCTGCCAACCTAACTGACCCAATCCCTGTAGCCTTTGGGACTTCCTTCTACTGTGAGTAGTATTTTGAGTGTGAGCTCTCTCTCTTTCTCTCATTTATACATTTGTAAGACATTTGGAAAAAAAGTTATAGGAAAGCACTATGTAAACTACTACCCCCAAATGACACAATTTACCATTTAAAAAATACTGGCTTTAAGTATTTTTCTTTATATAAAGAATTAGCTCCCTACTGATCAAGTTGAAGTCTACTTTATACACTTTTCAATTCCACTTGCCTCCTGCCTCCCCTGTAGCAACAACTAATTTGAATTTGGTGCCTAACCTTCAAGTCTATGTTTTTCATTTTTTGTTATATATTCTCATATTTGTGATACAAAATGACATTTTGTAAGAGAACCGTGTAATTACTGCATTTGCATTTTGAAAACTTGTTTTTTACTCAATTTTTAAAAGAGTAATATTAATACATTTAAATCTAATTTATTCATTTAAATTCATTTTAAGTGCCGTGTAATATTCCATTTCATGAACATAAATATCTTATTTATCTAGTCCTCTTTTTATGGACATTCAGGTTTGTATGTGAAACTTTTTTCACTGTATTGGTTTCCCCTTTACTATTAGACACTAAGTTCTCTGATTGAGAGACTGTGGGTTATGCTTCTTTGTGGTTAGGACTATGCCTGCAATTCAATAGGCATTTAATAAATGTATGCTGGGTGAACTGATGAAGCTAACTGGGGAAATGAAGGTCTTCAACTTTCAGAAGATGAACATGATTAGCAGTTAGAGGGTGACTGCAAGAATGTTAGTTAAAATAAGAGTTCTTTCTTGGGTTTATGGAGATGGGAAAGTAGGATAATAAAAAGCTCTTTGAAATGATACTGAGATGAGGATGGTCAAGCTAGTAAAATTTTTTGTCATGCTAATCATTTTTGTAAAAGACTAGTAATAGGAAATATATAAAATAATTAATTAAACTATGAGCAAAAATACTTATAAACGTGCTTAAGTGCATTGGGCGGGCTAGTACCGACTTATGACTGGACAGCAAAAATTCTATATTTATTTCTAACTAGGTCATCTCCATAATTCACCTTGGAGAGATCTAATTACCCTTGAATATTTGACCTTCAGTGTGTCAACATAAATATTTCCTCAACATGGCTTCATGGAGATATGGCAGCTGTGTTTGACAGAGATAACATTTTTCTTTAGAAATGTTAAGAGCTATGGTTTACTTCCTTAGTTTCAAGTCATCCCTTCTGACCCATTGCACTTTTTTGTTACTTTCTGAGTGTTGTCCAGAAGGAACTCACCCAATAATTAAGCTAGAGATGTGAGGTCAGGAGTTAGGTGTTGTTGCAAGGAAGAAACGAATTTATGCTTGTTA